GCGGGAGGATCGATCGGAGGTCCGGCACACACACAGTTCTCTTTTTTTTTCCTTCGATTTTGACTAACAAATTTTCGGGAGGGCGAGTTTAGTCGGCCCTGGGCCACGCAGCTGGCGCTGAATCATCCTGACCCTGGAAGGCACAGAGCGCGTTGCTAGGGTTTCGTAGCCGGCTTCCAACGAGAGAGAGAGAGAGAGAGGGGGACTTTTATCGTTTCCTCTTATCGAAACCTCCGCTCTACGAAAGAAAAAACGAGCCCGCGCACCGCTCTGATACTGAACAGAGGCTACAGCCCACGTAACTTCCGTCTTTGTCGCTACGCGAGAGTCGCGATAACCGGGCTACGTACGTCCCTGATCCTCGTTCGATTTATCTGCCGCACGCACCGCGTGTCCAACGAAAACACCAAACAGATAACGAACACGGGCTACATGGGTAATTAGCTTGATCTGTGATACCGCTTTTTTGGCTCTAGTTCGGCGAGGAATATGTGTGGGACGACGGGGGCGTGAAGAACATTTCGGAATGAACGAGATCGGACGGTCGAAAGTTGCGGTTTCGCGGTGCGTCACAGCTCGTTGTTTCGAATGCTCCGGTTTGTTTTCGAGAACGCTGCGGGGAATACCTCTCGCGATCCGGAGATATATGAGGAATAAATTTGGAACAACTGGTAACAAGGAATAAATAACAGAGAAGTTTGCACATGCTGTGATTATTCACCCTTTATATTCGCTAGGCTTACTGTCGCTCGATTGTCGTTCGAATCGCTGCGAAATCGTAACTTTTATCCGTGGAACACCGGAAACGGGTGATTTAAAGGGAGTACATTACTCCGAGGCGACTAAAAATAGGTAAACTTTGGGAATGTTTTCGTGACAATTCCAGTCACAAGATAACTACTCGATGAAAAGTTTCAATTCTTCTTTAAACAATTTTTAAAAAGTGAAAATTGTTACAAAATCGCTAACTGCGAAATCTCATCGATAAAACTCTTTTCGATTTATGAAATAAAAATGTATTACCTACAAGATTTTTCAAAAATTCTAACTGTTATAGAAATGGTGGTAGTTTAAACACGGAAAACCTAAAAATTTAATGTTCTAGCAGAAGAGCTTTCGCGACAACTCTTCCATTTCGTAACATTTCTACTTTCCAAAAATTGCAGAAACAATCTGAAAGCTACATTCACATCCCCGGAAAGAATTGAAACTTTTCATCTAGCAATTACCCGTGAAAAAAATTCCCAAACTTCTCCTTTCTTCCAGACGCCTCAGGACGGTGTACCCCCTTGAAGAAGGCATTAAGAGAAAAGAAAAGTTACGCCATGGATCAGAGGGAAACAGTCGGGATAGAGAGAGAAAAAAGAACTTCTCCGTGAAACAACCCTGAACAGTTTATGCGGCCATTCGTATCGCCTTAAGCCAGAAACAACTACTAACAGCGAAATCGCTACATTACCTCCCACGCTTTGCGCAGATACCGGGCAGCTCTCGAATTTCCCTCCTCTCCGGTTTGCGCAACGACGGGCCTTATTGATCGCAAGCGTTTCGAGCCCATTACGATCAAACTATCGATCGCGTTGGTACGCGTTAAATGTTTATATCGCAGCCACGCATTAAGCCGTACGTACACGGCCCGGCCTGTGTACTCCATTCAACGGAGGGGGGCTTCAGGGCCGTAATTCAAGCAGCCACTTCAGAGGCAACAGAACGGCCGCAACAATGGCCGTAACTGTAGATTCGAGGTAACTTTACACTCCAGTCCATTTTCTCGTTGCCCACTTAAGCCCGTTGCAACGTTCGCGCCCCGCCGCCAAGAGGAAAGGGTTCGGCGCGACACGTGTTCGAATTTCCCTTAACGGACGCCGCACGCTTCTGGGCCACCCCGTGTGACAATTACACCGAGGTAACTTGAGACAGTGTTACGCGGATGCGACGAATACGGCGATCGTAAGTTTCCCGGGAATTCGGATAATCGTGGAAACTCGACGAAGATTTCAGGTGTCAACGATACGGGGGTTAATCTTAACCCTTCGACAGTTTAGAGCGTTGAGTACTTAACTATTTAGCTCGAGAGATACTCTCCGGAAGAAAGTTTGAAAGGGAGATAGATACTGTTGTTGTAACTATAACGTAGGGTAATGTATCTCTTGTTTTCCCACGACCGACGTAATTATTCAAAAAATATGTACGAAATATAAATTTTATTAGACTGTCAAAGGGTTAAAATCACCGATAAATACTGGGTAGGGACAACAATTCGTAGAGTTTGTCGAACTACCTGGATCAGGTCATCGCCTGGAAAGATACTAAGTTCTGGGAGGATGGAATCGTGAAACTGGCGAAAATATGGCGAATGATATCACAAATATATGAATATTGTCTTTGAATTTCTGTCAACAAACGCTACATTGACTTTCGTCGACACTGTGTCGAAACACCAATTTTCTTGTATAAAAAATAACGAGGTGAACAATGAAATTTTATTAGGTAACACCTATACTGCTACTTCAAGTTGCGTTCATCAATAATAAAAAAAGAAAACGATCGTTAGCGAATTCAATACGTCGGTGATTTCAAAGTAACACCGATAAGATTACGTTCATTTCAAGATTGAAAGGGTTAGTTGAGCTTAGTGAATCGATTTGAAACGGCGTACAATCATCGTCGAAATCATAAGCTCAGTCGGAAAGCGTGTGACAATAGTGGATGGGAATGATAATAGGTTAGAAAGTTGCCTGTTCACGTTGAAGATCACGACTGTTTCGACTGATACATTCGTAAGGGTGAAAAAGAAAGTCGTAGAAACTTCCAATTAAAACTCCTATCATATTCGTTATTTTTAACAAGAAATGTTCGTGCATTGTAGCTCCTGAAAATTAGGTGACCAAGATTACGACAAATTTATTTATTGTTACGAACGAAGCTAAAACCGGCAAAATACGAAAGCGTAAAGCATAATTTTATATTCGCAAATCCTTTTCAAACTGTGCAAAAATTCGTAAGACCGGTAGTCTATCGCGAAATCTAATTAACCACAATGCAAACCATCCCTAACGATACGAAGCTCTTTTGAAAAGGGCAAACAAGGGGAAACGAGACCAAGTATGAATCAAAATTTCTCTCCCATTGAAACATTACTCCTCGCAGCGTTTCAGAATTGTGCAGATAGATATCCGTCAAGCGTTTAAAACCTCGTCGAGAGGAGAGTTTCGTTTGCTTCGACTTTACTGCTGAAATCGTAACAATTACGGCGCGCCTCGCCGGAAGGAAGCGTCGTAATAACTTCTTACTTCGCGCAGCCTCGTAAAGATTAAAAGGGGGCGAGGGGAGAGAAGGGTCAAGGTGAGATAAAGCAGAATTAACGGCCAGACCTAAATCCTTGCCCGGTGGATCTCCGAGATTGCCTCACGGCCGGAAGAAAGAAGCTCGGTGAATTACATGGCCGTGTGGACCAACGTAACGCGAGCATCGTAAATTCGAATTATTATTGACCGTGGATCCACGACACGCGTGGCTAGCGACAATTATCGCGAGTGAAACCCGCCGTCTAATAGAATCGAGACAGGCCATTAACAGCCGAGACACGGTTTTTTCGTGTCGCCAACGGGCGAAAATCGCGGATCGACCGTGTAAAATGCTAAATCCGCCGTATGGCTGCCGGGGCACGTTGAAAACCAGTATTAGATACGAGCGTTTCCAACGAGTACAGGTGTTAAAGTGGTGCGACGACTTCGACGAATGTCCGCTGTTAGAGACAAAGAATCGAAAGAAATTGTGATTTATCTTTGACTACATGAAGCGGATTCTGTATGAAATAAAATAACGAGGAAAGGGTGGATTGATGAATATTTAATATGCCAACGTGTAGACATTGTGTCGGCATTCGAGCAACAATAGACAGAAATTCGTAAGCTCGAGTGAAACTTATGATTGATGAATTTTTGTTAAAATATATTCTTCCTCGAAGCAGCTAAACTGTATCTTTTTTTTTTTTTCTCGAGATAATTATCGAGCAAGATTTTTTTTATCTTACTTCAATATCCATAAATATTTGACGAAGCGCTGTATTAAACATTTCTCGATTATGTACCCTCCTACGAAATTCCATGGAAATCGATGTGCAATATCTCACGGGACTCCCTCGCAAGTGGCGCGAGAGGAACGAGATCGCGCGAAGATCGGGGCAAACTTTCGAAACGTTCCCCATGCGTGGCGACGCGTTAAATTAACGTGCAGACTTTTCCATTAATAACAGGTCCCCGTGCACGGTGACACACGTTCCGAACGGGACAAACTCTGTACGGCGATTATGCAACCGAGAATCAACGTTTTCGCGACGAGCGTTGCAGAGACTGGTTTACTTAGCGATAATCAATCTGCTAGATTAGAGAAAGTTGTTGCACAAATTTATGAATGAGCCATCTTGTCATAATAATACACTCCGAGCACTTGGAAGAAACGCGATACCAAACGTCCGATACTTCCTTCGCTAATTGATACTTCAAATACAATCGTGATTACCCGACCCACGCAAAGTGACTTATCGCAGTGCAAAGAAACAGAATTAAATTAGAAATTAGTACGAAAATAGCAAGACCAAAACTACAATGTTAAATTTCTTGCAACAAGCCCAATTAATTATATCGTTCATAATTAACACTAGGTTTACGGAACGAGTGATTTTGACGCATTTCGAATTTCACAAGGACAATTACAGAAACCGCGTACATTTCTCTCCTGCCACTCGTGCTTATTAGAAATTTTCTATAAATATAAAATATCACATAGTTTCATTTAGAAGAAAGAAATGTCCGTAAACCTAGTGTTAATATCCAATTCTTGCACGGACAATCTAGAAATAAAATGCAAACCTACAAGAATAAAAATCTTCAAGGAAAAAAAGAAATACTGAAAGAATGAAATTTTCAAAAGTGAAATTTACGAGAGGAGCTCGATATATGAGTCATTGTGCGGCAATAGCCACGCGAATCACGTACCATGCCCTCGTCTATCGAGGTGTCTTCCTCGCAATAGCACTCGTCAGGCTCATCCGGCGTCAGAGCGGTAGGAGTTTCCGGTGACTCCTCCTTGATGTCCTGCCTTCTCATCCAGTCCATCTTCGCGTCCCTTATCGAGCCTCTCTACCGGCTTGGCGCGAGTTCTTCCGTCCTCTCACGATCCTACTCCTATAGCTGGTCTCGACACAAGATCACATGTCTCTTTCGCGTACGATAGGGGGTCACACGAGAGAGCGAAACGAAGGAGAAAAAGGAGCGCGGCGCGTGGTTGTATTCGTGTACAATCTCTAAACGTGAAACACTGCTCAAGTACAAACGGTGCGCTTTTACTTATCGTTTATCACCGGGCCACGCTCCGATTACGCGGAAGCCACTCCGCCAGCGGCTGTAGCTGACATTTGCGAAATGTCAAAGCTTTTCTCGCCGGCTGTGCAATATATCCGTGGCGCTAACGAGGCGTCAAGCTTCTCTTGCGATCGAAGCTTCGATACCGATATACGTACCACACCGGGCCACGGATGCACGTGTTACCAACCCGTGCCTGTGTGTGTTGTGTGTGTGTGTACCACGGGTAATAGCAAAGTGATGATCCGCGAAAAACAAATACGTTCACACTGTGTTTCTCACTGATCGATCGATTTAAACGATTTTATTAAGAGAAAAACGCTGACAGGATGATCTGACCGCGAGAATAAACCCTCCGTGCACGAGATCCCACGAGGGAAACTGGCCTGCTCTTTCGACACCGACACTCTCCGATCGAGGAGAAAAACTCACACGCGATACATCTCGATATCCAAAGAGGAGAGAACGCGTCGTTAAAACACACAGCGTACCGGCACGGCGAGAGATGATTGCGAGCGAGACGAACGCGCGCGCAGTCTCGCATGTGCACACGAGCGAGCCACGGCGGCGGTGCAGCTGCAACTGTGTGTGCAGGACGGGAATGCTGGAGGTGGTATGGAGGCGGCTCGGTGGGCGCACTCTGTCTCGTCCCTGTTGCCTCTCCCTTCTCTCTCGCTCTATCTCACCTAAACGCGCCTCGTCGTCTCCTCACCCTCTCTCCTTTCAACAGACAATGTACTTTCTCCGTCTGACCCGGGGACGCTACGTGCGTCGCTCACTCTCCCTCTTTTCACTGAATCGTCCAACACATTTTGTCTGTCTATCTTTCTCTCTCTCTCTCTCCTCCACCTCCTCGTTACCTTTTCCGTCCTTCTCTCTCCCAGTTCGTTCCTTCTCGTTTACTCGTAGGCACATCGTGCACTCCATCCCTGTTCGACGATTCGTCAGAGCGAAACGTTTATCTTTCTCTCGTACGGACGTCTTTCTCCTTTCAATTTCTTCTTTCTCCTCCTCGTAGTATCGTCGCTCCGTCTTGGTTCCGCTCTAGAACGCTCCGTACACCTCTAGCGCCCTCTCTGTTTCCCATACGCGCGGCTCTTTCCCGCTGCCCTTACGCCATCTTCCTCTCACCCTTTGTTGGCCTCGCGTTTTCCCTCTCCGTTTCGTTCGTTTCTGTTCCTTTGCCAACTCGCCCCATGCCGCTGTCTGTCCTTCTTCCACCACTATTCCCCGTCTTCGTCCACGCTGTCCTCTTTATATTTCGTACAGCTTCCCTCTCGTCTCTTCAGCTTCCACTCTCTATTTCTCCTGTCGCCGTCGACTTCCTCCTTTCTACCACCGCTATTCTTTCGCGCTTCTGCTTGACCTCTCTGTCTCTTCGCCACGTTTCCCGTCTTCTTTTCCCGCCACTGCCTCGTCTTCTTTTCACAACCAGCCGGAAAACGGCAACTACCTCTCGTAGCTGGACAGACGCGAGAAAGGGAGGAGAATAGAACGGAGGGGAACGAAATGCGAGAGAGAGAAATGGCTCTTTCTCGCTTCTTATCCCGTACACACTGTCTCTGTTCAGGAACAGCATCCCTAGTCCGTTTCTCTCCCTCCCGCTCTTGTCCTTCATCCACCCCCACCAAAGAACACTCGTCTCTGTTCAACACGCTCGTTCCTCCCTCTCCCAGTTCCATGACCCCTTCCCTTTCGCGTGGAGTCGCTGCGAGTTCAGGGACGATCCGTTTTCAGTCGAGACCCTGGATCTAACGCCCCGAGGGAGGCCAGAAATAGCGACTTTCTTCTAGTGCCGGGGATTTCATCTTTTTATGGTTGCCCCTTACGGGACCCGGGATACAGATTCGTCCGTCGAAACAAATTGCCGATAAGACGATGAACAAGAATTGCCCATTCCCGATAAAGACCGCGATATTTATGAGAAACGTGAATTAAAGTATTGAAATGGTACGGAGGCGGTTCGGATGTTGGAACTCGTCCAAGCCCGTATTAACGCGTTCCCGACTTATTGAAAACGAGGCTTTTGTTAAGTGGACCGAAATATTTGCTGGTTCGATGATGAAATACAATAGGGGAGAGGAATGATGAAATTACCAAGTAATTAGAGTATTTCATTCCACGTAGGTCTTTATAGACTTGTCTCTAAAATTCTACGTGGAAATTTGTAATTATATAATGCTCGATACGTGTGGAAAATGTCAATTTGTAACTGGAGAGGTTTGAATTACAGCTCAAGGGAGAACCATATGGATATAATGAAATGGAGTAGTGGACTATGAGGTGAACAATCGATAATTCTGACCGCGTCGTAAATTCGAGGAATATTACGTAAGACAGGTCTCCGTAAATCACGCATCGTTGAATCGCAATGAACCGCGATACATCCCTGGGCTCGGTACGATCGAGGAAGAAAGAGGGACGAGGAAAATGGCAAGTATGCCACGATAAGAACGACAAGGAGAAGAGGAGCAAAGCCGATGCTAGGGCACGGACACTTGAAGAAGCGGAATACCTTAGAAAAAGATAGGCATAACTCACAGGACGAAGAAGAACGACTCGCAGTATCGTAGCTAGCAAATGGATATCAAACTACGCAATTACAATTCCACTGTCAACGTCGTAAACCCATCGATAAATACCCGTTCGAAATATAACAAAACGTACGTTGCAACAAAATAATTCCTGAAATTGCTACAGTTTCGTTCCACAAATATCACGAGAAAATGTCTACTAACCTCTAATTTGTCGTCTTACGCCAAATCACACTAATCTCCTACGCACTTCTCTATTATTTATAAACTTCAACCAATTTCACTTACACGCACTGTCACTGCAACTTTCTTTACCGAAAGAACACTCTCCCGTGAGATATTTATTTGTTAAACAAGAGAACAACGCGAGTTCAACGTAACAGAAAATCGGCGGTAAAATTACAACGAAATAAAACATGACGGAAGGCGCGCAGCAGCGCAGCGCCACCAGTAGGGACGGCACTGGCGCGAACCATGAGAGAAAGGGACAGACACAGGGAGAGACACGTGATGCTGGAACGTGTGTTAGTCATGGGTTGCCCATGGCAACCCACGCGGCTAATGTACACGGTACAGGCCGCGCTCGTTCAGGACAACGCTGCCTATATACAGTACGGGGAGAGCGTACGTACGTACAACGTACGTAACTCCGTAGGTTGTACTACGCGTACTACTTCGCGCGTGCACAATGGAAAACGGGAGGTCAGGTTCGTGTGCGTCCACACACGTGTCCCAGTTAATTGATTTCGCCTTTGCGTTCGTTGTCACGATGTGCCATTCGATCGGAGTACGCAACGAAACCGCGTTATCGTCGTCGACGTGCGCGCCATGTCGCGACATCCTGACCACCGAATGGAGATCCTTCGGGGAGAAGCCGATATATATACTATACGTATACATATATACTATGGTTCGGTGGATAAAACTCCGGTGCAATATCAAGTCTGGCATTTCACTGGAAAACTACACACGCGTTCTTCTGCTTCCTGTATATTATTTGCTCGTCTTTTTCCAACCTTTCGACCGTGATGGCGCTACGCCATTCGATGTTATCGATATTGAAACATCGTGACGTCGATTTTCATCACTTTTTCGGCTGTACCTTGAGATTAAAATTTATCCTAAATATATTTTTACAATGTTCTTTTGCATTTTTAAGTGTGCCTCTCTGTTAGTAAGTATCGTTGGTATTATAAAACAGTTGTGGGCTTTTAATTTGTGTTAAGAGATAAAGAATAATTGCTGATGCTATTTATGATAATTTGGTCACGACTGAGCTGGTTGCATAGAAGATCTGAATAATCACACGCCACGAGACTAAATGTTGTAAAGTACTGTAGATTAGTAAGTGGTGCTCATGAATAAATGGTGTAAGGTTTCAATAAATTGAGGGCGTTAGATACGCGTGGAGAAATGTTTTACGTAGAAGTGTCTACGTTGCGCGTAAGAAATATCTTCAACGAGTCGTAATTATCGTTAATCGAACGAAACAACGATAATAACCTCACTTTCGCGAAAGACCATTGCACAGTTAATCCGAATATTGAAGAGAATTAAAATGGAAATTTGGGAAAGAAGGAAACTCGTACGAATTCACGATCGTTTACAACGTTCGTAATCTTAACGATGCTGAGCGAAAATAAATTTCTTCTTCCGTGTGATCAGCAAATACCGCGAGACAGAGAAATGCCACATTTGCATAAACGGCCGTTTCTCTTTCGTTCATCAGCATCCACAGCAGGCGTAATCACGTGCCGGGTTACGAGTAATTATCCACGGCCAGAGGAATCGAGTTTACGCTCGATTTCAGCGCGCGAAGAATTCGGCTAGCCGGCGTGGAGAATGCAGTCGCACCGGCCATTGCATCCTGGCGCAATCGTGCTGTGTGCACCAATTAACAGCGCTCCGCGCCGTAATCTGGGATACCGTGGTGCATGCAAAATGCATTCTACACCACACACTCTCGCCGCTGCTGGACACGAACGATCGTTATCGCTTGATTATCGGTCGCTGGTAATCGCGGTTTTCCAAGAACCACGCCAGGAAGAAGCCGCCAGATAATTTAGCGCTCTGCGATCGCCTTCAGAGTACGAACAATATTCTGATTGCGTAATGCGCTTATCGACTATTGTTTTGCACGGACAAATAACACGGTTGAATCGAAGAATTTGAAAAATTGAAATATCTTCCTGAAAGGATTCTTCGACTTTCGATGTTTCGTTCTTGAGTTTCTTTTC